AAAGAAGAGCCATCACCTGTTGAGGCTGAGGAAGCCTCTGTTGAAGACTTCTTTGCTGGCCGCGAGAGTCCACTTGCAAGACCCAAACCTGTGTTCGCGGAAGAAGTAAGGGAGACAATCCCGTCACCACCAAAGTCACCAGTCAAAGAAGAGCCATCACCTGTTGAGGCTGAGGAAGCCTCTGTTGAAGACTTCTTTGCTGGCCGCGAGAGTCCACTTGCAAGACCCAAACCTGTGTTACAGCCGGAAGAAGTAAGGGAGACGTCCGTCACCCCAAAGTCACCAGTCAAAGAAGAGCCATCACCTGTTGAGGCTGAGGAAGCCTCTATTGAAGACTTCTTTGCTGGCCGCGAGAGTCCACTTGCCAGACCCAAACCTGTGTTACAGCCGGAAGAAGTAAGGGAGACAGTCCCGTCACCACCAAAGTCACCAGTCAAAAGAGGCCATCACCTGTTGAGGCTGAGGAAGCCTCTATTGAAGACTTCTTTGCTGGCCGCGAGAGTCCACTTGCCAGACCAAACCTGTTTACAGCCGGAAGAAGTAAGGGAGACAGTCCCGTCACCAAAAGTCACCAGTCAAAGAAGAGCCATCCTGCGAGGCTGAGGAAGCTTCTATTGAAGACTTCTTTGCTGGCCGCGAGAGTCCACTTGCCAGACCCAAACCTGTGTTACAGCCGGAAGAAGTAAGGGAGACAGTTCTGTCACCACCAAAGTCACCAGTCAAAGAAGAGCCATCACCTGTTGAGGCTGAGGAAGCTTCTATTGAAGACTTCTTTGCTGGCCGCGAGAGTCCACTTGCAAGACCCAAACCTGTGTTACAGCCGGAAGAAGTAAGTGAGACAGTCCCGTCACCACCAAAGTCACCAGTCAAAGAAGAGCCATCACCTGTTGAGGCTGAGGAAGCCTTTGTTGAAGACTTCTTTGCTGGCCGCGAGAGTCCACTTGCAAGACCCAAACCTGTGTTACAGCCGGAAGAAGTAAGGGAGACAATCCCGTCACCACCAAAGTCACCAGTCAAAGAAGAGCCATCACTGTGGCTGAGAAGCCTTTGTTGAAGACTTCTGCTGGCCGCGAGAGTCCACTTGCAAGACCCAAACCTGTGTTACAGCCGGAAGAAGTAAGGGAGACAGTCCCGTCACCATCAAAGTCACCAGTCAAAGAAGAGCCATCACCTGTCGAGGCTGAGGAAGCTTCTATTGAAGACTCTTTGCTGGCCGCGAGAGTCACTTGCCAGACCCAAACCTGTGTTACAGCCGGAAGAAGTAAGGGAGACAGTCCTGTCATCACCAAAGTCACCAGTCAAAGAAGAGCCATCACTGTTGAGGCTGAGAAGCTCTATTGAAGACTTTTGCTGGCCGCGAGAGTCCACTTGCAGACCCAACCTGTGTTACAGCCGGAAGAAGTAAGGGAGACAGTCCTGTCACCACCAAAGTCACCAGTCAAAGAAGAGCCATCACCTGTCGAAGTTGAGGAAGCTTCTATTGAAGACTTCTTTGCTGGCCGCGAGAGTCCACTTGCCAGACCCAAACCTGTGTACAGCCGGAAGAAGTAAGTGAGACAGTCCCGTCACCACAAAGTCACCAGTCAAAGAAGAGCCATCACCTGTCGAAGGCTGAGGAAGCCTCTATTGAGACTTCTTTGCTGGCCGCGAAGTCCATTGCAAGACCCAAACCTGTGTTACAGCCGGAAAAAGTAAGGAGACAGTCCGTCACACCAAAGTCACCAGTCAAAGAAGACATCACCTGTCGAGGCTGAGGAAAGCTCTATTGAAGACTCTTTGCTGGCCGCGAGAGTCCACTTGCAAGACCCAAACCTGTGTTACAGCCGGAAGAAGTAAGGGAGACAGTCCCGTCACCACCAAAGTCACCAGTCAAAGAAGAGCCATCACCTGTCGAAGCTGAGGAAGCTTCTATTGAAGACTTCTTTGCTGGCGCGAGAGTCACTTGCCAGACCCAAACCTGTGTTACAGCGGAGAAGTAAGGGAGACAATCCGTCACCACCAAGTCACCAGTCAAGAAGAGCCATACCTGTCGAGGCTGAGAAGCCTCTATTGAAGATTTTTTGCTGGCCGAGAGTCCACTTGCCAGACCCAAACCTGTGTTACAGCCGGAAGAAGTAAGGGAGACAGTCCTGTCACCACCAAAGTCACCAGTCAAAGAAGAGCCATCACCTGTCGAGGCTGAGGAAGCCTCTATTGAAGACTTTTTTGCTGGCCGCGAGAGTCCACTTGCCAGACCCAAACCTGTGTTACAGCCGGAAGAAGTAAGTGAGACAGTCCCACCAAAGTCACCAGTCAAAGAAGAGCCATCACCTGTGAGGCTGAGGAAGCCTCTATTGAAGACTTTTTTGCTGGCCCGAGAGTCCACTTGCAAGCCAAACCTGTGTTACAGCCGGAAGAAGTAGTAGACAGTCCCGTCACCACCAAAGTCACCAGTCAAAGAAGAGCCATCACCTGTTGAGGCTGAGGAAGCCTCTGTTGAAGACTTCTTTGCTGGCCGCGA